CATTGGCCACCATGGCTAATAATGTAGTATTGGCCACCATGGCTAATAATGTAGCATTGGCCACCATAGCTAATAATGTAGTATTGGCCACCATGGCTAATAATGTAGCATTGGCCACCATAGCTAATAATGTAGCATTGGCCACCATGGCTAATAATGTAGTATTGTCCACCATGGCTAACACAATGTAGAATTGCCCACCATGGCCAACAATGTAGTATTGGCCACCATGGCTAACAATGTAATATCGGCCACCATGGTGAACAATGTAATATCGGCCACCATGGCTAACAATGTAATATCGGCCACCATGGCTAACAATGTAATATAGGCCACCATGGTTAACAATGTAGCATTGGCCACCATGGCTAACAATGTAGTATTGGCCACCATGGCTAACAATGTGATATTGGCCACCATGGCTAACAATGTAGTATTGGCCACCATGGCTAATAATGTAGCATTGGCCACCATGGCTAACAATGTAGCATTGGCCACCATAGCTAACAATGTAGCATTGGCCACCATAGCTAACAATGTAGCATTGGCCACCATGGCTAACAATGTAGCATTGGCCACCATAGCTAATAATGTAGCATTGGCCACCATGGCTAACAATGTAGCATTGGCCACCATAGCTAACAATGTAGTATTGGCCACCATAGCTAACAATGTAGTATTGGCCACCATAGCTAACAATGTAGCATTAACCACCATGGCCAACAATGTAGTATTGGCCACCATGGCTAACAATGTAATATCGGCCACCATGGCTAACAATGTAGTATTGGCCACCATAGCTAACAATGTAGTATTGGCCACCATAGCTAACAATGTAGCATTAACCACCATGGCCAACAATGTAGCATTGGTCATCATGGCTAATAATGTAGCATTGGCCACCATAGCTAACAATGTAGCATTGGCCACCATAGCTAACAATGTAGTATTGGCCACCATAGCTAACAATGTAGTATTGGCCACCATAGCTAACAATGTAGCATTAACCACCATGGCCAACAATGTAGTATTGGCCACCATGGCTAACAATGTAATATCGGCCACCATGGCTAACAATGTAGTATTGGCCACCATGGCTAACAATGTAGTATTAGCCACCATGGCTAATAATGTAGTATTAGCCAGAATGGCCAACAATGTAGCATTGGTCACCATCGCTAACAATGTAGTATTAGCCACCATAGCTAACAATGTAGAATTGGCCACCATAGCTAACAATGTAGTATTGGTCACCATAGCTAACAATGTAGTATTGGCCACCATCGCTATCAATGTAGCATTAGCCACCATGGCCAACAATGTAGTATTGGCAACCATGGCTAACAATGTTGTATTGGCCACCATCGCTATCAATGTAGCATTAGCCACCATGGCTAACAATGTAATATTGGCCACCATGGCTAACAATGTAGTATCGGCCACCATGGCTAACAATGTAATATTGGCCACCATAGCTAACAATGTAGTATTGGCCACCATCGCTATCAATGTAGCATTAGCCACCATGGCTAACAATGTAGTATCGGCCACCATGGCTAACAATGTAATATTGGCCACCATGGCTAACAATGTAGTATTGGCCACCATGGCTAACAATGTAGCATTGGCCACCATGGCTAATAATGTAATATTGGCCACCATGGCTAACAATGTAGTATTGTAGTAAGGTAAATCTATTAAAATTAACATATTGGAATGGCACCTGGTCAAAACCAAATAATTATGTTTGTTCTGTGCATCTGCAAGCCCAAACAGTTTTTAATTTTCAACCAACACTGATTTATGCTTAACTTTAACTGGGTTCTAGAGTATGTATGTCCAGTGGAGAAAATACAGTGATTTTTAAAACAGTCTGGTAATAAACCACTAACTTTATTAATTATTCATCACTTGTACTAAGGTGGGTAGGTAGGAGAGAGGAGGGGTAGGGGAACTAACAGACTAGGCTATGCGCACATTGTGTACGTCGTCGTGTAAGTTTGTTAACAATGCTAGTACTGACGAGTCAATGGCTAATTAATGGAGTGAACAGGACACGAGATTCAACACAAGGTTAACTCAATAAATTAAGGGAAAATGGCTTCCCTTTCTCTCTAAAACTGTCCTACAAGTGGTTTATTTATTCAGCAATGGATACAAACAATTTAAAGAGGACAACTACTGACAGTCATGGTCAATGGTTGACGTTGACCATGATCAAAGAATGTAGGCTACTTACTATGACAGCACAAGTGGAAAAAAGACTAAGAAAAACTGACACCACTGACTACCATATCAGTCAGCAAACAGACAAAACTTAAAATCTGTTTGTTTGTTTTTGAACAGGTAAGTTCTCAAACATTTTGGTAGCTTTAGAATAATCTTCAAAATATACTAGGAGTTTAACCTTTTCACCACCAGACTTTCTAACCCAAATTTGTCTGCACTTTTTTCTAATATCCTTTAATATTTCTGGAAATGAACCTTAATTTTGGCGCCAACAGACGAAATTTGAGTCAATTTTCAGTTACTCAAAACAATTTGGCTATTTTTGTCTCAATCTTTAGAAGGAAAGTGTAGACTATAAATGAGACTACTTTGTGAATTTTTGATGAAAAGAGGGAACTGGTGGTGTAAAGGCTAATGATTCTGAGATCTCAGTACTGGAACAGAGTCTAGATGGTAGCATTGCTATGATGACTGGGAGGCTACAACCAGACAGTATAGTGAGTTATCACAGGGGAGGATGACTGGGTTGGCGCGTACATGCACATATAGCAATAATTGCACCACAGTAGCTTGCTAGACAAGTGAGCCTTTATTTAAACTGCCACCTGACTTGCGTTAGTAACAAAGACACAAACGACTCATCGGCAGTCGTGCAAATTACACTCAAAAGCCCAGTAATTGCAGACACAATTGTTTGATAGAGTCTTTGGGGGCAAAATAGTAGACTGTGTTTGAACTGATGAAAGGTTGTTTTATTGCCAATGTGTGATGCATGCCATTTTTTCTGACCATTCATTGCTCAAGGACATGGTGCAGGGTATAATGTATGCACCCCGCCTACAAGCAAAAGAATCACAGCTTCCTAAAGCTTGACATTAATTCTAATTGTGCCATTTAGTTCCGTCAGCTCTGTTTGGCACAGGTAGATCAGCTTGAGTGGGTTTTCCCACACTCATTTTGAAGCATGTATCGCATCTATCTTATGACCATTCTCTACTGCAATTTTAAATCTGGTTTAAAAAGCTGAACTGAAAATGTAAAACTTAATGACTAATAATTTTGATATACAAGAAATATAAAGGTGAGTTGCAGACCTTGTGACTATCACTCAGCATGCATGACATGACAACCATGTCACAAGTCAAGTTGTGATACAACCACTTAAAACAACAAATCTGACAAAAAGAATCATCCTTATGAATGTATACTGATGTCAAACAACAGTAATACATAACACACAATATCAAATACTTGAAAACATTTCAATTCAAATATTTTGTTGTTTCATACAAGCAGCCTAAGGGCAGTAGAGGCATACATAACAGAAACAAAACTGGAACATTGATAGTGAACTTAACGAAATACTATGCTAAAACACACCTAAGGTTTGAAAACACATTCCAACAATGTTTTTCAAAAGGTAAACTTTGTGTGTGGTAAGGTTTTGATCTGTTTTCCAACTGGTTCGATATGGAAGTACACATGACAAGATGCATGATAGAATTGTAGCAACAGAAATTCCATGTTGCTTTTGTGTTTTACACCCAACCTGAAAATCTAACATACAAAATTATCAATTACCCAGAAAATTATAAATGTTTTTCAGCAAATATGTTAATCGAATTGGTCGGCACGCTTCATAATTTTGTGCCTTGGGGATGAAAGAAACCTAACTAATCTTGGCTTGTAAAGTGAGCTGATGCTGTCTAAACTGAAATTAACACCACACAAGGTATATATTGTGGAATTTAAGCGTTACAGGTGAATAACTCTAAACCTACAACGACATTTCAATACTGTGACTGCACAAATATTAGAATAATGAAAAACGCACGATCTTGACCTAATTGTTATTGGTCCATGCAAACGCACACTTCACAGTAAGCCAACCACATGGAAAAGAATATGTCAAAGAAAATAACGTACTGGTAAACATGACTTTAGAGAATGAAGATTTGGTTGGACTGTCACCAGACTGAAGGAGAATAAGAAAATTCAGTAATGTGGAAAGCTATGTTGAGAAATTCTTTAAACTAAACAATAGAGGATATGTCATGAAAAAAATTATGATTTCTTTGCAGTCAGGTCTATGTTTTAATACAACCAGGCTTATGAAAATAATTAAGGTGATATCTGATTGGCTAGGCAAGCAGCCAATCAGGGACAATATTCCAAACTAGTTTGCTTTTCTTTTCAAGTGTCCTGATAAATATTTGTAGCCTATTACAACAACAAATATGATTTAAGGTGAAAGCCTACTCATAATTTTTGAGAAAGTTGGTCATAAATCGCATGACAATGTTCATTGGTTTATTATGTAAATCAAAATTAGGCTGGTGACCTCATCTTTTTAAAGTCAATATCCTTAAATTGCCTGTTATTGCCATTTATTGCAAATTGAATGAATTTCACGAATGTGTATAAACTTTAAGATACAGACTAAAATGAGATGCGAGTTTGGTGGTTTTATTGTTCTCTGGTCTGTGTTTTAGATGCAACAGGTGTTAGACGTCTACACTAGGTTTTATCAAGTTATAAGGCTACATACAACAATATTTTAATTTCTGATCATTTCAATATCAGCTCTTGTGGCCGGGAGTATTTATTTTGTTTTGAATATAGGATTTGTAAACAGTTTGTTGTTGGATTGATCAATTATTGATACTACCCCCATGCTCTGATGGTCAGGGTGAGTGGAAACCAACCACGCAACAAGATGCATGATACGGCCAACTTCACTGTGATGTCACCTTGATATATTTATTAAACTGTAATTCATTCTCACTTTGGATGAACAGTACACCCCTGCCAGCTATATATTAGTCACCAATATAATGGGTATGCTTTGTTTGACACCCTATTTCACCCAAGAAACAAATGAGAAACTAGTAAAATGTACAGAAAATGAAGCTCTGCACGTTTATGTTTGAATCAATTGTGGAATATTGTGGAAGAAGTTGTTTGACAAAGCTGATTGAACACTGATCCAGGGACAGTATGGGCTAGGGATTAATCAGGTAAGGGAGGCTGAACAAGAAGGGAGGGCTAAGAGATAAGGAGGGCTGAACAGGTGACAAAGTCTAACATGTTAGAAGTACTGATTAAGTTGAAAGGGCTGAGAGGCAACTAAGAGTCTCTGAACAAGGAGGGTAGGGCAGAACAGGTAAGGAGAGCTGAACAGTTTTGTATGGCTGAACAGGATAGAAGGCATAGGGCTGAATGTTATGGAGGCTGAACAAGTTGGGAGGGCTGAACAAGTTGGGAGGGCTGAGCAGGCTGGAAGGGATGAACAGGTTGGAAGGGATGAACAGGTTGGAAGGGATGAACAGGTTGGGAAGGCTGAGCAGGTTGGAAGGGATGAACAGGTTGGAAGGGATGAACAGGTTGGAAGGAATGAACAGGTTGGAAGGGATGAACAGGTTGGAAGGAATGAACAGGTTGGAAGGGATGAACAGGTTAGAAGGGATGAACAGGTTGGAAGGGATGAACAGGTTGGAAGGGTTGAACAGGTTGGGAAGGCTGAGCAGGTTGGAAGGGATGAACAGGTTGGAAGGGATGAACAGGTTGGAAGGAATGAACAGGTTGGAAGGGATGAACAGGTTGGAAGGAATGAACAGGTTGGAAGGGATGAACAGGTTGGAAGGGATGAACAGGTTGGAAGGGATGAACAGGTTGGAAGGGTTGAACAGGTTGGAAGGGCTGAACAAGTTGGGAGGGCTGAGCAGGTTGGAAGGGATGAACAGGTTGGAAGGGATGAACAGGTTGGAAGAGATGAACAGGTTTAGAGGCTCAACAGGTTGGGTAGACCAAACAACTAAGGAGGGTTGGACATGTTAGGAGGATTGAATCAATTGGTTTGGCTGAATAGGTTGGGAGGCCTCGGGCTCAATAGGATGGGAGGACTGAAAAACTCTTCTATGCTCTGATAATCAGAGTGACTGGACACCAGCAACACTACTGGATATCAATGTGCACAAGACGTATGACCCTCTTCGTTCAACTTCACCGTGATGTCACTTTGATATAAGAGCTATTTATTGGAATGCAATTTATTCTCACTTCAGACAAACAGTATGCTCCCCTCTAGCTATATTAGACACTAATTTGCTTCTCTTCGTTTCACAACCCCTCCACTATTTTCAAAAGTTTGACCCACAAAACAGCAGAGAAGCTTGTAAAATGTACAGAAATGCAAATTTCATGATTGAATAAATTGTGTGATATTGAACTTGAAGGAGTAATATAGGATTAAACAAGCTGTTTGGAATACGTTTTTTTTTTAAACAAGGCTGATCAGACACTGATCATAGTATGGGCTAGGAATTAATTAGATTGAGAGAGCTGAACTGAATGGGAGGGTAGAACAGGATGGGAGGGGGAGGGTCGGACAGGTTGAGAGGGCAGAACAGGTTGGGAGGGCTGAACAGGTTGGA